GAAGTTGGACCTCTGCCTCATACTATGTGTTAAAATAATTTCCAGATAGATAAAACATTTAAATGTGACAAAATGTAGCTACAGAAGTACTAGAAGACATCAGGAGAGAAAAGGCCTTCTTCAGTAGGAACACAAAACCCTGAAAATAGAAAAGATTAACTCATGAAATTGAATGTTTCTAAATGGTAAAAACACAACAAATGAAGTAAAAAGAACAGTGAGAAAAATGATTGCACTCTTATCACAGTTTATAAAGAACTTCTATAATACAATGAGAAAAAACAACTCAATGACTCTCATATGAGGCATCTAAAATTGTCAAAGATATAGAAGTAGACAATAGAATGACGGTTACCAGGGGATAGAGGAAAGAGGGATGTAAGGAGTTATTATCTGATGAGCATAAAGCTACAATTATATAAGATGAATAAGTTCCAGAGATCTCCTACATAACATAGTGCCTACAGTTAATAATAACGTATTGCCTACTTAAACATTTGCTAAGAGGGTAGATCTCATGTTAAGTATTCTTACTACACACAAAAACAGGTTATGTCCTTTATCCATCCTTTATTATCCATTCTTACTTCCTAACAAGATGTCGTTACTTATATCTGGGTTTATAATCTTACAGGAAGTAGGAAGAACTCTGCTGGGACAACTATATGAGAAAGACCATTCTCAAGATCTTCTAAGGGCTCTTGACATTAATCTGAAAAACAGGCAGGTCAGTGTCATTTATAGCAAACAATGGCACTATTACCAGTGGAAAAGAGAACAGAATGCATGGTTAAAGTGCATATGATCCTTTGGGTTTTAGCACAGCATGTCCACAGAGAAATCCTCTCTGGCGTCCTGTGTATGGGCCTGAGGTTCCTACAATGTCTTCCCAGTGAGCACTCACAGTGCAGGATAGGTTTACCCTAGGTGGCCTCTCTAGTCCCAGCACAAGGACTGTCTTCAGTCCCAGGGCTTGGGCGTACTATTTCCTCACATTGACAAGGCAATCCTCCAGCCGCCATTTATGAGAAAGTCCACAAGATGGAGATGTCACTACAGGGAAGGGAAGAGGATGGGCCCGGCCTTTCCCAAAGCTCCACAACTATATACACGCTTGAGGGGTGGTTGTTTGCTTGTTTGTTTCATTTGAATACTTGAACACAGATGGTTAAATATTCCTGTCATTTAATTTTCTTTCACAAAGAAAATATTTAGAAATTCTCTGCTCAAAAAGTACATTTTCAAAAAGTGAAGTGTTTTAAAAGTCTGCTTTCATTAAACAATTGCATCTTGTATTCCTGAGGGCCTTTGCAAATAGTTTTGGTTTTCTTGTTTTGTTTCTCTTAAGTTCCAATTTCATGAAGATGTTACTCTATTTCTAAAAGACTGCTCTATTAACAAAGCTATAATAGGAGATATGGAGATGGATTCATTTTAATATCCTTGACTTGACTTGATTTTCCATATTGTTTCTTCAGCACTTCCTTTCTATGTCAATTTATCATTCCAAGTTTTATCAACATCTAACACATTAATATACTTGTGGGGGAAGAAATGGAAAACTCCAAGCTCATGACAACGTCCACTTGCATTTCCAAAGTGGGTCGAGGTGCCTGAAGGGTGTTTTAGCTGGCCTGATTATCCCAGGACTTCAGTGAAGTAGTCTTGTTTCCAAATCAAGGGAATGAAGTTCTAGAACTTTCTAGTATTATATGGGGCTCAGGCACAATGTTTACTAGTCAGGGGTATGATCACAGAAGATGTGGGTCCTCATTGCAGAAATGCAACTATTCATAATATAGTACGTTTTTGGTTTTAATAATATATATATACGTAAAACATACCAACCACAAATCTTACAAATTCTGCTAAAGTATACATATCTCAGTAAAAATAATCATACATCTTAATAGGGCAAAAAATACTTGCATAGGTAAAATTAGATTATGGGTGATATCCAAAGAATTCAGTTGTCAAATATGAAAAAGAAAAAATCAAACTATATAAAAATGTCTAAAATCATAAGTACAACTGATGTAATATTCTTGGGTGATGGTGTACAAGTATGATTTGGAGTTAGAAGATCCTCTTATTTTTCTTTTTCCACTTACAAAACATAAGTGGTAATACAGCCAGGTCCAGTGGCTTCCTGGTCTTAATAAAACTGTACATCTGATATGTCAAATGATTCATCATATGGTTTTTCAGAGCCACACAAGGTGACAGTGAAAAAGACAAGCAAATGTAAAGGAGGTGATAGACTCTTAGAAGCTACCTTACTTGCCCATGGATAGAGTAGATGGTAAAGAAAACCAAGTTCCTACAGCGATAGCGTACTGTAAGAAGGAAAGGAACTTAGAAGAGTCACCCCACCACTGCCGTTCCCCAGTGACCCCATCTCAATGCCAGGCTCTCTCAGAGGGATTTAACTCCAGAGCCTTCTTCAAGCCAAGGACTGCTGAGTCCACACCTCCCCAGGACCTCTGGAACATCTTCCTGGATGTCAGACAGGCTCCTTAGACCTCACATGCACAAGGCTGGAAGTCTCCACCCAATTTGCTTTTCTTCCAGTATCGTCCCAGTTCCTTGTTTCTAACATCCACACATTCGTGCAAGCCTGAACCTCACTCATTTTGCATCTCCTGCTCTTACCCTCCAGGCAGTTGCTCCTGGCAAGTCCCACAGCCACTGACATGTTGAGCATGGTCTTCTCTCTTGGACTCTGACACTGCCTCGCGGCAGCCCTTGTTCCTGCAGCCTCACCCGAGTGGCTTGTTCTATGCTACTAACAAATTAGAATTGGTCACCTCCTGTCTCCTGTTTTCAAACTTGGACAGCTCCAGTGGTCTCAGAATAAAGTCCAGCCTCTTCCCCAGGATGTTCAAGGCACTCTGGGATTCAAGTCTTTTTTTTTTTGAGATGGAGTCTTGCTGTCACCCAGACTGGAGTGCAGTGGCACAATCTCAGCTCACTGCAACTTCCACCTCCCAGGTTCAAGCGATTCTCCTGCCTCAGCCTCCTGAGTAGCTGGGATAACAGGCGCGCACCACCACACCAGGCTAATTTTTGTATTTTTAGTAGAGATGGGGGTTCACCATGTTGGACAGGCTGGTCTCAAACTCCTGACCTCGTGATCCACCCACCTCGGCCTCCCAAAGTGTTGGGATTACAGGTGTGAGCCACTGCACCCAGGCTCTAGGATCCAATTCTACCATTCCTGGTTTAACTGCCCACCCTCTTTATCCCCAGGGGCACTTCAGCCAGTCCAGGCAGAGAGGGAGACACAGACAGGAGTCCTTCAGGATCCTGGATCTTCTAGCCCAAACCTGGATCTGGGTTTCCAGTGGTAGAAAAGCAGGCAGAGGCTGGGGCTTTCCTTTTAGAACCTGGGAAGAACACCTCCAAAGCCCAGGGCTTTGGTAATCTTGTGGGCCAAATGAACCCCTGTCTGTATAACTTTATAACTTCATAGACCTCCAAAATGTTCCCAAGCAGTGAGCAGCTAAGTCACCCCATCCTTCCATCAGTGTTTACCGTGGCTCTACTATTGCCAGGCCCCAGGCACTGTAGGAAACACACCAATGAACAGAACCTGGTGCTAGTCCCTGAGGAGCTGGCAGCCTGGCAGGTGCAAAATGTGCAACGTCGTATCAGTCACACTCCAATATTACTCACTTCGGCCCCAAATCTTACATCCCATTTGACAAGGGTCATCTGTATGGTGACCTCTTCAGGACTACAGGTAATTTTGGCTAATTCCAATAGGAGTGCCCTAGGGTAAAGGATAGAACTACAGACAGGTAAGGGCGTCTTCAGGGTAATCGAATGGTTACCTTATTATCAAGACCTAACTTAGCCCGAGTGTGCTCAGCCCAGGGCCATGCTGGACTGTGGAATCTGAGAGCTTGACACCGTAGGATCTACATGCCATCTGAGAAGTTAACAGTGACATGTGACTAGGCAAACCCCACTGGCCATCCCTTCTCCTCCCGGCCTAAGGTGTTGCCTGCTCTCAACCCAACCAAACCCCCAATCACCAGCAGCACTCAGCAAAACACACTTCAGAATACACATAGAAGAGGATCTAAACGTGGAACACAGGTCGTTTGTTTTAAATTTGGGATTTGAGGTAAGTGATCTCTGATGTCGCTCATGTCTAGATTCCTGACGAATGAGGAGCTGCTGGAAGTTACATGTCATCATCTCCTACACTACCTCCTCCCACCAGATACACATGGTGGTCTTCACACAGCACTCCCGAGTGGACTTTTGTTTGCTCATCAAAATCACCCTCTAAGGTAAGGGTTGGTGTAATTGGCATTTACCCTCAGGGATCAAATAACTTCCAAGTGAGTGAGCTGGAATCCTTACCAGCCTTCTCTAACTCAGCACTCTTGCCATGTAAGGGTAACTTTCTAACTGTTCTAAAATTATAGGTCTTACCTTTCCCTTGTAAACACATCCTTGGGCAATCATTTGCTTCTGGGAGTCATAATCAGTTAATTTCTGGTGGTCTAATACTCTTGCCAAGTTAAATTCCTTCCATGTACCCATACAATTCTTTCTCTTCTGGTAGGTCCTGGATTAATTATACAGCACCTTAATGGGCCCACTAATTTCTGATGTACATAGATTTAATCATTCAATGGTGAAAACTGATGTGTATATAACAAATTGCAGAGCTTACATAAAATCTAGAACAATTTTTAAGGAATGGAATCAAAACATTCACACAAATATTTTAGAAGACATTTTTATACTTTCTATGGAAAGTGTGTAGGGGGATGAGACAATAATATTAAAATATCACCTTTAATAAAATATTTGCTTAGTAAATAGTGGGAAAGAAAGAGAAAATATTCCTGGCTTCGGACAACGTTCTGTAAAGAAAATACTTCATGTTATGTCTTTTATTTATATTTTTCCTTTAACCACACTTAATCAAATTGATTCCCCTCACTTGAGGACTGTGAAGCCATCAGCACGCTTGTCGAACTCACCTTTCCAACCTGGCCTCCTGTGGGGGTGAGACGGATGATGTGGGGGTGGTGGGCACACTGGATCCAGATGAGGGTCTTGAGGAGTGATGAGAGTTGTTGCCAAAATTGCTGTATCTAAGAAGTGCAGACGTTTAAGGTGGTGGAAAAAGGATAGAGAAATAAGTACAAGTCAGTAAATAAGACTTAGCAAACCATTTTAATTTTTGCAAGATAAACAGGTCTGGAAATGCTACCACTGTTAGTGATAATTCTACCTAAAGAGGTTTGTTCCCTGTTTTGTTCTGATAATTTCTCATAAGAGGAGTTTCCCAAAGTCCAAAACCGTTAGGCAGCAAGATTTATGACAAAGGTTTTAAATAAAACCCTAACAGTTCCTGTCTTTTCAAATGTACATTAAAATTATTTGCTAACATAAATTAAAAATCCAAATCATTTTCACTTGAACCATGAAGATTTTTCTTGCCTCAGATGGTGGCACAATTAGTGTTAATTCCATCACAGGTCTGTAAGAAATACCATATGGTTGGCTAAAGAAACATCTTATTTAAAATTCCACTTTAGTATTTCCATATCAATTTCATTCATTAAATGTAATCCCAGCGCATGTTCAGTGATTGAGGAGAAACTGTCCCCAGGCCTTCTGGACTGGCCTGCTCCTTAGAGGTGCATGTATTCATGTTTTCATCCCACATTTCCCTTGAACCAAAATTATAGCCATGAGGTTTACATGAGATTTGATTATTTTCCAGACATGTCTGACAAGTTACATTTCAAGATTTGTAAAATTTTAGATTTCTGTTTCTCAGAATAGATGTCCTTTAGCAGACCGTATTTAGCTATCACCACTCAGAGCACTCCCACAAAACAAATCATCATTTGACACCCTTGCATGGGCTCAGACACTCAGGATTACTTACAAATAATGAGGCTCAGGGAGCTCTGCCTCACAAACCTACCCAGCCACAGAGCAGGACCCACCCCTTCCACTAAACTGGTTAGGGACACTATATTAGAATGTGTGGGACCCCAATAATCACTATGATATAAGTACACAAAGAGCTTCTTGCACATGGAGAATCCAGTCCAAACGCCCATCAACAGAGGTCGGAATCCCTTCTGGAAAGCAAACGGACTTCAAAATCAGTGTATCCTTTGACAGAGTAAGTCAACTTTTAGGAAGATAACATAAGGAAATAATCTTATAGTTATTTATATACTGAAAATGTCATACAGGAAGATACTTATTGGAGCATTATTCATCTTTTTCTTTTTCTTTCAAGGAAGATCCTGCAAATAGTGGAGCATTATTTAGATCATGGTAGAAAAGTAAAAACTACTCAACCATGTAACAATGTGGAAATGGCTAAGAAAGTATGATATAGTATTTGTCAATGGACTATTATACAACCATTAAAAATGATTACCAATTTTGTAAGTGACAACATGAAAAATGATAATATAGGCTAAATGAAAACATCAGGATATAATATACACAGTTTGATCACAAATGTGCAAAAATATTCTCAAAAGTGAAAAACTAAGTGTAGGAAAACTATAAAAATGGGCTATTTTTTTGAAAAGAATATAGAGATGAAATTTCAGTTTTCAATAAGAAATTTCATTATTATAATGGGAAATAAAATGTTGATATGACCCATATCTATCCTGTGCTGCTAATTCTGGTCAGTTTGGCTGTTGCTGTCTTTATTTGTTTATTTAGTGTCACACGGCTGGCATGTTCTGAGTGCCGGACAGAGAGAGGCTCAGAGTAAAACATTCTATCCCATCAACTTCTATGAACACATCATCTTTGTGGGACTTGGTTTCTGAATACTCGTTTTCTCTTTAAAAACCCAACACTCTACATTTCAAACAGGTTAATTGCTTCTCCAAGTGAGAGTTGGTTTAATTTTTCAAGAGTGCTCCCAAACCACAGGCCACATAGGAAGCACAAAAGCCAAGGATGAAAGGAACATACAAAGGCAGAAATAGAGAAGGGACAGAAAGCCAATGAGGAAACAGGGAAAGAAACCAGGCTATAAGCACGGCAATGAGGGAGAGGAAGGAGACTGCCCCCCACGACACCAAGCGCTCTCCGAGACGAGACCCCGACGCAGCCTGTTTCGCACGGGCTCCACGCCTGTGTCAGCAGCTGCCTGGATACTCAGCTTGTCATCCTACTTCAGCAGCTAAAACAATTCCCTTCCCACCACAAGTGGACATCCTGCAGAATGTTTTAACAGGATCACTTTGCTAAAATTGTGTTTAAATGATGCTATGGAAATAAGCAGAATGTGTTTTTCCCTCCTTTGGTTTTCCTAATGACTAAGCAATTAATTCAAATGCCTCATAGTCTAGTTTTGCTTCTCAACTTCAGCCAAACTAACTAGATCATACAACTCACTATTCAGCATTTGTGTGTGTGTGTGTGTGTGGAGGGTGAGGGTTCTTTTTAGTGACTAACTGGTTGGTCTGTATTATAATCCATTCAATTGCAGTCAACCACTGAGTAGTCCATCTGTGGTCACACAGACCCATGAAAACCACAGCAAATGAACATCACAAAAATCAATAGAAACAAACAATATTTATACAGTATCCAAGTTCCTGTTGGACAAGTGATTTTAAAAGTTTACAAACTTCGCTCAGTTAAATCAAAGTCAACCTTCATTCACAAGCAAGCAGCTTTTCTTTTTTCCCCCCCACCCCCACCCCAATGACAATTTGCGTGTATCTTCAACTGGACAGCTTATATATTTCCATTGCCCCCACCCTCAGGACTATAAGTAGTGGTGAAGCTTGCAGACCAAATGGGAAGGATCTGGGGCCCAGGAAAGCCCCAACTAGGGCCATCACCAGAAAGACCAGGATCACCACCGTGGGCTAATACGCTCTCTGGGAAAGATGAGATCGCCAACATATTTTTGTTCCAGTCAAATGTTCAGCTCCTAACTTGCACATAGATATTGTTCTTGGAAGGTGTAAGAGTCATGTTGGATTCATTCCACAAAAACTGTGTGAAAGATAACAACAATCCCGGAACTATAGACCTGGAAGAGACCTGCAGAGAACTTATAGTTTCAAGGAATTCAAATTTGGTTCACTGGGATAATACAATTGGGGTACCAAAAAAAAAAAAAAAAACAGAAAAAGAAGAAGAAAAAAAGTTCAGTTCACAACTCCTGGAGGTATACAAAGCCATTCTGGAAATAAGAGGAAATTAATTTTCAGATCCTAAAGTTCCACATCTGTTCTTTTTAAAAATGGATCTTCCTATGCTGCTCCTAGGGTCTCCCAGTCCTCTCCAGCTTCTCTTTCCAAAATCACCTTCCATTTTTAGAAAGAAAAGAAACCCCTGAGCAGGTGAAATCAGTGTGGGGCACTGGCTTGTGCTATAAAATCTCCAGGGTACAAGCAAAGGAAAACATCACTCCTAAGGGAATTCCTTAAGAAGTATGCTGGAGGGAGAATATGGAGCTTTATTTATCCAGGGAAAAACTAGAAGCAAGGTCTCGTGCCTCATCTCTGTCTACCTGCCCACCTGAGAATCGGCCCCAGAAATTAGACTGTTGTCAAGGATGCATATGAGCTCACTTACTTGAACTGAAACATGAAATCAGGCTTCTTCTGACAGAAGTTAAGTCTTACTTGACTAAGGACGGGCTTTGCCAAGTAGGTATACATAGGTATTTTCCAGAATTAAATCGGTAAAATCTGAAGCCCCAAGGTTTTGAAAAAAATATAAAGCATATATACAATAGACAAATTACATCAACGATTTAAATGTATAATAAAAATAAAACTGTAGACAGGCTTCTTAAAACTTGGAGGGAAACTTCAAAATTCTTTCAGGTTATATGTAAGCAAACATTGTTAACGATCATAGTTTAGATTAGCCCTCCTATTTATTAGATGAAAGGTCTGATACCCATAAAGACTGGTCATTTTCATGGTATGAAGGAGCTCCCTTCAAGGTTCAGGTCCTATAAGCCTTCATTTAAAACATGGTGCAGCTTCATGTTGACTAGGGCATCCAGGCTGGGTCCCCCAAACACAGGCTCTGGCAAAAGCATCTTGCTGTCAAGGATTTGCCTTGGCAGGGTGTGGCGAGTGCAGTAGGAGAGAAAGTGACCGACTGCCCAAATGACAGACAGCAGCACCACGTATGGGTCAGGAAACGCCTCTGGAACAGGCTCCCTGGGGTTGAAACCTCCCTCCAACATACTAGCTGAGTGACTGTCTTCAAGGTACTTAGCCTTTCTGTGCCTCAGTTTCCCCACTGTAATAAGGGCTTGTAATAGAACCTACCTCTCAAGGGTAAAGTAATACTTTAAAGTACTAATTTCATGGAAAATACAGGACACGGCTCAAAAAAATGCTCAATAAGTGTCAGCTATTATTATAATTAAGATGAAATGGTCATTAGATTGATCAACTATTGATTTTTGGACAACTCATTGTTCAAAATATGCCAACTCTATTTCTAGTTCCCCACTCCGGCAGACAGTTCATAATGCAGGCAAGAGGGAAAGATATTCGTACAGGCAGACACCTGTTAAACATTCTCGGGGAAGTTCTGATTTGCACACCTCCCTCTCCATTTTTTATAAGATTTAAGTGTTCACAGTAAAATAATGTCATTATATTAATACCTATGAAGTGGTTCAAACTGTAATTGTGTGTCACGTTGTGGGAAGATAGTAGCATTCTTTGAAAAGAAAAATGCATACATTAGAATATAAAACAAGGCTATAGAAAAGGGAAAGAAAATAGACACCCACCTATTAGAAGAGAAAGATCGGAAGTGGTAAGGCTCAGAGGCAGAATATGCGCTCAAAGAGACAGAATCAGAGGAACTGTCAAAGGAAGAAAAGCCTGCTCACAATGTGGCACAGAAAGACAGCAAAGGACTTGGATACATTCTCCAGGGTCAAAAAGACTTCATGCCACATGGCTTGGTACAAGATGTACAAATCTGGACACATTATACATATGTAAAACCTTACATTTAAAAACCCATTATTAGTAATCATATTTTAACAAATAATCCCCTTAATTCAAACATGACAATTTTCTCTGCATCTTATGTAAACGCTGGTCATTATTTAGTCAGGGGTCAGCAACTTAGTTTATGCCACGGCTGCTCCCTCCTTGGTCTGAAATCCACAAAAAACATGGCAGAAGCCAAGCCAAGGGGTGCAGTTAACACACTGTGTTCTCCTCCCCGAGTTAATCTCAAACAAGCCTCCAGGTGAGCAAATCTACCTGCTTTCCTTCTGGGACTCTGCTTCCTTCTCCTTGGTGGACAGGGGGGAGTCCTCAAAGTCATAGGAGAAGAGGTGGAAAGGGCTGTGGGGCACGTAGGGCAGCTTGTCTATGGTCGGTGACACCTTCAGGGAGCCGGGTGTGGCAGAGGAGGGCCGAGCAGCTGAGGCAGGGGGTGACAGGAGGGCAGATGGGATGGCCTCAGGCCCAGAGGACCCACTGCGCCGGGTGGTCCCACCTGCCGTGCCAGCCAGAAGCTGCTTTCCCTGCAAGCTGGCATTCGAGACAGCAGGGAGGGCAGAGCTCTTGGGAGCAGCATCCTTTCCAGTGGGGCTCTGCCCCGAGGCAGGGCTGTCCTTGCTGTTGGGCCAGCAGGGAGGAGGAGGAAGAAGAAAAAAGATTTGGGAGAGAGGGAGCAAAGGTTAGGAAAAAGAGAAAGACAGACAAAAAGCCACTCTGTACTGTTATCACTCCCTTCCGAGTCCAGCTGTGTTTCTCGAACTGCAGCATCAAAGCCTGTCACCAGAAGTTTTGGTTGCCCCAGCAATCCTGACATACTGAGTTTGTCAAACCGGGAGGTAAGACTTACAGAGGGCAAGGAGGTGGCTCTCAGGCCAAACCTGGCCTCCAGGCCTAAGACACTTGGGAATTTACTGGAACCCCAAAGACTCTTCCGCACCCGGCCCTTCCCATGTGTCTCCCTGCTGCTTGTGTTGGCATCTGAATTTCCACGATTGGCACTTCATCTCTGTCTTGCTCAAATAGCACATCTGTCCTCCTGCTAAAAAGCCCAACCTTGAGGAAGAGGTATCTCACAAAGCCATACGCTTCAGTAACTGCTTCCAGAATCTTTCATGAAAGCAGGTATGGCTAAGAGAAAAGGAGAACAAATGCCAGTGAGGAATGCAAAGAGCTAAAAAGAGGCGCCAGGACAATAAAGCCAAATTTTGCCCGTTTCATACTTTTCTCCAGGACCTCCCACTACATCTGTGACATTCAGACTCCTTCAGACAGGCCTGATTCTGCCACAGTTCCAGGTATAAAATCCTGACCTCAGCCCCTCCACACACAGTAACGATGGGAGGTGTGGTCATCATTACACAATGTATACATATATCAAATCATCACTTTGTAAACCTTAAATATATACAACCTTTTTTTTTTTTTTTTTTTTGAGACAGAGTTTTGCTCTTGTTGCCCTGGGCTAGAGTGCAATGGCATGATCTTGGCTCACTGCAACCTTTGCCTCCCAGGTTCAAATGACCCTCCTGCCTCAGCCTCCCAAGTAGCTGGGATTACAGGCGTGTGCTATCACACCTGGCTAATTTTGTATTTTTAGGAGAGATGAGGTTTCACCATGTTGGTAAGCTAGACTCGAACTCCTAACCTCAAGTGATCCACCTGCCTTGGCCTCCCAAAGCGCTGGGATTACAGGCGTGAGCCACCAAGCCTGGCATTATATACAGTTTTTAATTTGTCAGTTAAATATCATAAAACTAAAAAAAAAAGAGCTTTCCGTCTTCAGGGGGCTGGATTTAGACACTTGGATATTTTAACACATACATTTATAACCTGGGAATCTATGTTAAACTTTGCACTTTTCCAGTCCCCTCCCAGAGAAGTTGACTCCCAGCCACGTTCGTGTGAACATGGAATGTGAGCCGTCTTCTTTCCCGCCTCACTTTCCCACCTCAAATTCAGAGCTCTACCTGTACGCAAGAGCAGGAACACACCAGTTTCCCTGGATTGATGGGAAGATGGCTATGCTGTAGTGAGCCAAGGGCAGTGCCTCTGTCGGGGAGCACACATTAAGCAGAAGCCCGCAGAAGCAGGGCAGCAGAGACACCAACCCAATATAAGGAAGGGGAAGTCCTTTACCGTCTCAGAAGTTTACGCCAGAGAACAAATAACATCCAGATGAAGGTTAATGAATACCTAGGTACTATCAAGATCAAGCTTTGGTATTTAACATGCACATGTTTATTTCCTAAAACTGAAAGCCCAATCGTCTCTGGTAAAGGATGCCCTCCGGCATCACTTTGTGGAGTCAGAGACTCTTCCGGGCATAAGATAAACAATCATCTGCCTGTATAAATAACAATCCTAGGCAGAGACAGCACACCATTAATGGGGATGCCTTTGAAGGCCACCTTTTCCAGCCAGATTCTTCCATCTGGTCTGAAGGTGCAGAAGCCTGTGCATACCTGAGGGTTTAAGGGTTAGTGCGGGTGGGACAGAACATGCACCTTTCAGCAGATAGGGAGGCATATCCCTGTTTCAGTGATAGTCTACAGAATTTCCTACAGCTCATTTTCAACTGAAGGTGGGATGGCAACCAACATCCTCCCTTCCCAGAGCACCTCTAAGTAATCAGTCACTAGCTCTAAGCACAGCAGGGGCTCTGTTTCATGCTGATCTTTCCTGAAATGTGTGGCTAATTCTCTATCATCAGCTCATTCCTTTCCTCTCCACGTCCTGCTGGCTTCTTCTCGGTCATTTCCAAATGTCATCAGTTTGTCAGTTCAGAGTTTGTCATCAGTTTGTCAGTTCAGAGAACATTCTATGACCCCTGGGCATGGCAGGAGTCTGAGTGTCAAATAAGCCCATCTGAGAACTTGCGTGCTGCGCACTGCTAGCCTGGCAGATGAGACATCCGTAGCAAAGACTCCATTAAATCTAAAGTTGGCAAAGATTTTACTTGGATTCATCCAAGATCCTTTTGATTTTGCTTATTTGTTGGAAAAAAAAAAAAAAACCACAGTAAAAATGTTCATTTGCAGTGGCAATCAATTAAGTGAAGAAAACCATTCAATTTTAGAATTATGTCTGAATACTGGAAAAAGAAACTACCTGTGAGCAGTTTTTATTGCTTTATACAGACATCATTTGGCGAAAATAGCTACAGAATCTAAAAAAATCGGCAAGGTGCCCATGGCTGTCAGCATTGCCCGAGGATAGAAAGAAAGCACCGTGCGGAGGAGGTGAGTAGAGGACAGCAAACTCCCCAAAGGGCTACAGAGTTATATGTTAGTTGTCTTGGGTGCGAAAATAAATACTGGGAAATTTTGCTATGATGCATGGGGTGAAAGCGTTCCTGTTTGTTCCAATAAAAAATAAACCTGAATCATTAATATAGTAGTTATCCACACATTTTAGCTAATAGTGTAACTGGTAAAATCGAGAAGAAGGGAACACGTAGAATTCTTCTTACTACAATGCTGAAAGGGTGAGAATCTTCTTAGGGGAGATGAGCCTTTTTAGTCACCATCAATCTGGTTGAGCTAAAGCATTCAATGAGGGAGGGAACGGTGAGGAGAAAACCAGTGATTTTTCCATAAAGTGTGGTTAGGAAGGCAGGATTTCAATAAAAAGTGCAGTTCTCTAATGAAAACATGCTCAGGTATTTCTACAAAACCAGTGGTTCTGTGGCTCTGTGAACAGGGTAAGTAAGAGTTTGGAAGTGGGAGTCAATGAGAAAGGGAGGTGGCCACTAGAAGGTGGTGAACTATCATTAGGAAGGAGTCTCCCACTTTTAGTGTGAGCTTGGGAGGCTCCAGTCCTAGGTACCTGTCCTTGCCCTGACAGGAAGCATCATCCTCTCTCTCTTCTTCAGAATTGGGCTCCGTGATTGGCTGCTCCTCTTCCTCCTCCTCCTCCCTGAGACAAAGCCAGGAAAAGAGAAATGCACAGAGACAAGATGGAAAAGTGAGATGAGCATTACAAACAGGAAGATGAGGCAAAAAACAGACAAAAAACAATGAAATAATAATAATAATAAACAGCTAGCTGAAATGAAGAAAAGCACACTCAGTCTGTTAGGAGGCAAGAGACAGTTCTGAGATGCGGGACTTTAAATGTAGAGTGGAGATGTAAGAAAGCAGAAGAGGCCAAATATCTTTGTCAAGCTGGCTAGATGCCACTACCGTGCACCCCCTACACGCAATTCAGAGAAGCTTCTGGCCATGGGCAGACCTCTTCTGTGGTTTTTCTCCTCCACACAGAATCATCCAGTGAAGGTTTTTGGTGATGACCAGCTGTTGCAGCAACCAGAGTCCTCACATCTTTACTGCATCCCTCTTGATTAGAAATCACCAGGGGTCAGGTCAATTTGGTACGGGCTAACCTCCATGGTGGACCTATGGTTTCAGCATGCCACCCCTCATTGTCCACGAATGGCCATCCCAGATTCTCAATGAGTGTGTTTCAGGGGTGCAGTTCCACTCCCACTTCAAGGGTAGCACAGTCTAAGTGGGGCCAATTCATGTCACACCTGGGGTTTCTCCTGGTACCATCAGGGATGACTCACTATAAGGACACCCTGAGTCCAAGAAAAACATAGTTGAAACTGGGAGAAAAGGAGAGGAAAGTAGTCCCCCTGACCATTTTAATGCCTGTATCCAGCAATTCTGGAGCTCCACCCTAGCCTTTCACCAATGGAAGATAATAAATTCTCGTTGCGTAGGGTAGGTTCAATTGGGTTTTGTCCTTGCAGCTAAGTACAGACTAAAAACTTTAATAACTGGGACATTCTCTTTCTCTGGCCTCTAAGTCCTGTCAACATCTGACTTATGTGGTCATGGTCCACATGGAACACCTATTCAATGCACTGCTGGGCTTCTCAATCCCTTGCCTTGCTGAACTCCAGTGACTTCCACCTTTAGCCCCTCCCACTCCAGACCTCACTGTCATACAGAACTAGTCCAATTTGGAAATCTTACATCCAATCTTCCCACCCCTGACCACAAGCTCCCATTCACCCAAATCTCTCATTCCTTTCCTCCCACCCAAATCCTTCAACTTCCTAATGCATGTGCAGCTTCTACCTTCTCAATGTCCCCAACACCTTCTTGCTTTCAGTCCTTATGGATCCACCATGTCTCAATCCAGGCATCATCTACCAGGATCTCTAACTCTGTCATCCCACTGTCCTTCAGCTGTGTTTTTTCCTTTTTACCAACATATAAAATACATACAGAAAAGTACACAAACCACTGAATTTTCACAAAACAAACACCTATCTAACCAGCACCCCCTTAATGCTCCTTTCCAATTGCTTCCCTCTCCCACCCCACATCAAACAGTATAAGTTAGCTTTGCCTCGTTTTATTCTCCATCTAAAAGGAATCACAATCTGCCTAGCTTTTGCTCAACATTACACCTGTTACATATACTTACATATACATATACAAAATAGTTACATATACTTGAAGGTCATTCCTTCTTATTGCTGTATTTCAGTAGTTTACCCATTCTATTTCTGATGACACTTGGGTACCCTTCAATTTGGGGCTATTTTGAATAGTGCTGTCATAAACAGTGTAGTACATGTCTTCTGGTGAACATATGTATATATTACTGTGTACTATATCTTGGGATGAAATTTTTGGGTCATAAGATATGCTTGAGTTCATCTTAATTAAAAGCTGCCATTTAAAAAAATGATGGGACTAATTACCATCCCCATTAAGTAGTAGATGAGCATTCTGGTTGTTTTACATTCTTGCCAAGATGTGATAATTTTGTCTATTTTAGCCATCGATCTGTATGTAGTGATGTCTCACTGTGCTTTTAGTTTGCTTTCTCTGATGACTAATGAAGTTGGGCACACTGTAACTCTTTTAATCTCCATTTGCATATGCTCTTCTTTGAAGTGTCCAGGTAATTTTTTGCCCGTTAAAAAAAATGAATTGTCTTTTTTCTTTATTTGAAGAAGTGTTTTTTTGGAGACCAAGTTTTGCTCTTGTTGTCTAGGCTGGAGTGCAGTGGCACGATCTTGGCTCACTGCAACCTCTGCCTCCTGGGTTCAAGCAATTCTCCTGTCTCAGCCTCCTAAGTAGCTAGGATTACAGGCACCCACCATCATGCCCAGCTAATTTTTTTTTTTTTTTTTTTTTAGTAGAAACGGGGTTTCATCATGTTGACCAGCCTGATCTCAAAATCCCAACCTCAGGTGATCCAACCACCTTGGCCTCCCCAAGTGCTGGGATTACAGGCATGAGCCACCACACCCGGCTTAGGAAGTGTTAATATCATTTGCCCTTTGTCATTTATATGTGCTGTAAACATCTTTCCCTTCTCTGTGTATTGTCTTTCATTCACTTCATGTCATCTTTTAATAAACAGAAGTTCTTAATAAGGTCCTGTTTATCTTTGTTTGATGGCTAGTGCCTTTGTGTGTTGTTTTAATTTTTTTGTTGCTGTTGTTTATACCAGGTCTTAAAGATAGCCTCTATGTGTCCTTCTAAAAGCTTTATTTCACTAAATTTCACATTTACATTTGTAGAGTCCATCTCTAACTGATTGTTGTTATCATGTAAGATAGGGGTCAGAGAGGCTGAAGGCTGGAGAATGGCGTAACCAGGAGAGAAGGCGGAGTTGCAAATGAGCTGAGATCCGGCCACTGCACTCCAGGCCTGGCGACAGAGCGAGACTCTGTCTCA